CACACACACACACACACACACACACACACACACACACACACACACACTCCTCCTCAGTGACCTGCAGAATTCATTTTTAATGTTTTTCACTGATGACTTTGTGTAAAAAAACACAGCCTGTGTATTCATGCAGGTTTTGTGTACTTGTGTATTTGTTTACCTTGAGGTTTGCGTACATAAACACACTTTCAAAGCAGAACAAACGAGGAATTTGTTATTTTTTTGTTGTTGTTTTGTTTTCCACTCATGTCTCCTCCTTCCTCCTGGTTTTCTCCCGACACACTGCGATAGYGATCAGCGGCGGCGCTGACTGCAGGACGTGTTTATGAATTGCTAATAGAGCTATTTATCACGTCGAACGACACCGTGTGCCATATTGAAAGTCATGCTTAGCGGGTTTTACATTTAGAAGGTGAAAATTTGAAGGCGATCGACTGTATCGTGTGTCATTTTAATTTATGTGAGATTAATGCAGCGCTGGTGGTCTCCTCCCCCGCACTCATCAGGCGATACGGCTAATGGCAGCACAAACATCACTTTTATTTTCAGCTTCCAAACGCAGAAGAAGCCATGTTTTCTGCTGCAGATGAATTCGTAGGTTTTGGAGCTAAAAAAGGAAAAAGACTAAAAGTTAATCTGTGATGATAAAAATCTCTGATAAAATCTGAAACCTTGATGTGATCCTGGACTCTGACCTAAACTGAACAGCAATATTAACATGGTGCGTTATGAGGACCTAAACTGAGACTATTGTGAAACCAGCTGTTGCTACATCCTTGTAGCAGGAGGTTATGTCTATCTAAGCCAGCTATTGATCATTAATGATTAATGACAGGCCGGCCCCGCTAACTGAGAGGCCAGAGCTGGCAAATGAGAGGACTATTTATTTGTATTAGCATCGGAGAGGCTAGCGACTAGAATGGATAAGCTGGTGTTTAGCATTGAAGAGGCTAGCAACTAGCATGGATAAGCTGGCATTAGCATTGGAGAGGCTAACAACTAGCATGAATAAGCTGGCATAAGCATTGAGGAGGCTAGCAACTAGCATGAATAAGCTGGCATAAGCATTGAGGAGGCTAGCAACTAGCACGGACAAGCTGGTGTTTAGCATTGGGGAGGCTAGCAACTAGCATGGATAAGCTGGCATTGGCATTGGAGAGGCTAGCAACTAGCATGGATAAGCTGGTGTTTAGCATTGGAGAGGCTAACAACTAGCATGGATAAGCTGGCGTTAGCATTGGGGAGGCTAGCAACTAGTGTGGATAAGCTGGCATTAGCATTGGGGAGGCTAGCAACTAGCACGGATAAGCTGTGTTTAGCATTGGAGAGGCTAGCAACTAGAATGGATAAGCTGGCATTAGCATCAGAGAGACTAGCGACTAGAATGGATAAGCTGGTGTTAGCATTGGAGAGGCTAGCAACTAGCATGAATAAGCTGGTGTTTAGTATTGGAGAGGCTAGCAACTAGCGTGGATAAGCTGGCGTTAGCATTGGGGAGGCTAGTAACTAGCACGGATAAGCTGTGTTTAGCATTGGAGAGGCTAGCAACAAGCATGGATAAACTGGCGTTRGCATTGGAGAGGCTAGTGACTAGCATGACACTGCCATCAACCAATAGACAAGGTCAAACGCCGCTGTTAATTCAGGTGGTAACTAATGCTGTCTGCTTCACAGTAATTTGTTTTGTTTAATATTTCTGATAGATGTTAGACGTTGTGTTGAACAGTAAGTTCTGTCTAAAACAGGGGTTCTTAACCTTTTTGACCTCGGGGCCCAATTTGTTGAGCATAAAGAGGCACGAGGCCCAGTCAAACATTACCAATGTACTGATCAAAATGATGATTATTATAAATCTTGGTTTAATTTTTATTGTATTTACATTAGAACTAAATAAAACACACACATTTTAAAAGTAAAACTCCTGTCAAATAATCACAAAACATGATGCATGCAACTTAAGTATTTAAGTTGCAAGCTAAACATTTTGCTCAAAACTAAATATTTAAGTCACAATTTAAATATTGAGCTTGTTAACTAAATGCTTAATTAGTAAGTTAAATATTTAGTTTATAAACTGACATTTATAAATGTATGAATCATATGGTGAAAAACTGACTTTGAAAAGTAAATGTGTTCTTTTTTTCTTATAAAAGGTTAAATAAAACAAAAATATTGGTGGTAATTTTTGGCTGTGTAACTTTACAAACGGCAGCCCATACATATGCATTCAAAATGTTAATCTTTTCCATATTTTTTTATYGTTTATGCCAAAACTCAACATGTCTGTGCTTCATTCTGCTGCTCAGATTTCCTCTGTGTTCTGTCTGTGGACTGAAGCCACGCTGGGACTTTATGCAAATATCATCTAATGAGTGTGATGAGCTTATTAAGGTCTAAAGACTTAAAGAGAACAAACACTGTGGTCTTACTGGGGCCAGCAGGACACAGAGCTGGGGAAATGAAATTAAATATTAGTTTTATTAATTGCATCAGGAGAATGTATGAGGGTAATGACCACTAATGCAATAAACTTAAAGACAAAGAAAGTTTCATTTCACTTAATTTAATTCTTTATGCTTAGTTTTTTTTTTTTTTACTTTATCTTTTTCCTCAGCCATTATAAACGGTCTGGTTGTGTACTCTGTCCTGTGCTAAAATAAAGGTATTTTAAATTAATACATCATACACTGGAAAAAAAGGATTTTTGGGTGTGGTAACATTTAATTATTCTTTTAAATTTTACAAAATAATATCAAATTTTCTGAACTACTAGAATCTACTAAATAAGCAATACGCATTATATTATTTATTAATATTACTGTGCGCATAAAGTAAATGCTAATATTATTTTACCAGTAATTTTTAAGTGTTTTTTCTGGACAGCACATAAACATGAATA